CTCACGTCAAGGGGTCCTTGGACGCTTCCAGGCATCAGAACCCCTGGCTGAGAGGAGGAGGAGCATCTGGCCAACATGTCCTGGGAGGGGGTGGCCGCTGTCCAGGGCCAGTCTACACCTCCCTCGGGAGCCAGGCGGCGTGTGACCTCTGTGTGCCGCGTGGGCTGCGGGGGGCCCTCGGCTCTGACCAGATCGGGGTTCGCCACAGAGGTCCCGCTGGCTCCAGGGTGCCTGGATTTGGGTTAGACTCCCTAGCGGCAGCTCTGGCGGCCGGAACCCAGGGGTGCTGGGCCGCATGCTGAGGTCATGGGGACATCTGACCAAAGGCTCCCCGCTGCCATGGGCCCGTGACTGACCGGCTCTGGGGACTGGGGAGGCACCGCCTGGAACAGAAGCGTGAGGACCACACAAAGGCCCAAGCATCCCCGGTTCAGTTCTTGTGTCTCCATCCACTACCTATGGGGCCCCGGTAGCCTGGACGGCCAGCAACAGAAGCACCCGGGCGCCTGCCAGAGCAGCCCGCGCCTCCCGGCCCTCAGCACCCACCACTGCCTTGTCTCGTACGGTACGGTCCAGCCGCGTGCCGGGCACACTGGGCCCTGCCTGACCCCGGTGGACAGTGCTGGCCACCGTGTAACAGACAAGGCACAAACCATAAACCTAAAACGCTGTGGGGAGCTGACCGCCTTCTGGGCGTTCATGTTTCAGGGAGCATGAATTATTCACACCGCTCCGCCTTGTGCAACGGGAAGATGCTATCAGACATCGTTCGGGGGACTGGCAAATGGAGCTGGAGAGAGAGCAGACCCATCCCCACGAGGGGCAGAGAGGCCCCCCATGCAGGCCCACAGGACTGAGGGAGGCCGCCGCTCACCCAGGACATGCCCAGGCCCGGCCCAGGTCACCTGCCCAGCTTCAGAGTGTGACATCTCAGCTCCATCCATGGGCAGCGGCCAAGAGACCCAGCACTGAAAGACCAGAGACAGAGAGAGACCTGACCACCAGGAAAGGGACAGCCAGCCCTGAATCCTCACAGCGCCTCCGGTCACCGACAGCTCAGAGTCCTTCCCACACCTCCGCGTCCCCAAGAATGAGGCCGGCAGACACCGGCACCCTCTCCCATTGGAAGCTCTGTGGCTCTGCTCTGGGGGACCACAGAGAACCTTCTGCCTGCGGGGACGCCGGGGAGGGTCGCCCAGGCAGGCTGGCCCCGGGGCGGAGGCTCCTCTCCCTTCTCCCCTTCCCTCGTGGGCGTGGCTGTGGCTTTTCCATTCTGCAGACGGTTGACTTTAGTTTTACAGAAAAACTTCTTGCCACACAGAGGGAAACGGGATGCTTGGAGGCGGTCAGGACACCAGGAGTGTTTCAACATGCTGGGTGCAGCCGTGGCCACAGTGCGTGGCCCGCCCCCAACAGCGAGAGGAGGGGCAGGGGAAGGGTGTGCAGAAATAACTCACAGCGCAGGGTGGAACTCTGTGGTCACCGTGCCTTCACAGCAACCCGGAGTTTTCTATTTTTGTGTGTCTTATAATTATGTGTAATTCTATTTTTATCCAAAGTGTGGTCCACCAGCCAAAAGAGAAAACAAACCCCCAAACCCCTTCTTTTTAGCTGCTAACCTCAGGCTGGCACCAATGTGAGCTCACGGACGGTCACCAGAAAACCCCTAGCATCTCACCTCGTGAGAAATGCAGCAGCCCTGGAATCGTCTCTCGAGAGATCACTTTCCTTTTCCTTTAAATGGCGGGGAGGGGTATGTTCGGCTGAACCACACCGGCTTGCCCACATTGCTGCCCTGGACCGATGTGTACCACTCCATCTTAATTTCTGACGGTCCCAGGGCCTGCTTACCAGGCAAAGGTTCCACTGCTTAGCCATGGATGACTCCAGTTGTTTTTGTGTTAGTCTATTTTCTCAACTTTTCACTTGAGCTGGCCTCAGACCTCCACCCTTCTATCTAGGCCTCCTAGGTAGCTGGGATTTCAGGCATGAGGTACCCATGTCTGGGAATAAGTTGTGAGTAAGTGACCATTCCAAGTTTCATAACTGCTCCAAAATGCCTCATTTTCCTTGAAAAATCGTCTGCACTGACACATTGATGCCACCCTGTGCCCGAGACACACAGACAGCAGCAAGGAGGCCTGGCCCTTCAGCACAGTGGTGTGCTGTGGCGCGGACACACGGACAGCAGCAAGGAGGCCTGGCCCTTCAGCACAGTGGTGTGGTGCACGGACACACGGACAGCAGCAAGGAGGCCTGGCCCTTCAGCACAGTGGTGTGGTGTGGTGCACGGACACACGGACAGCAGCAAGGAGGCCTGGTCCTCAGCACAGTGGTGTGGCGCGGACACACGGACAGCATCAAGGAGGCCTGGCCCTTCAGCACAGTGGTGTCACGCAGACACACGGACAGCATCAAGGAGGCCTGGCCCTTCAGCACAGTGCTGTGGCGCAGACACACGGACAGCATCAAGGAGGCCTGGCCCTTCAGCACAGTGGTGTTGCACAGACACACGGAGAGCAGCAAGGAGGCCTGGCCCTTCAGCACAGTGCTGTGGCGC